GGGGCAGGGCAGGTGCACACAGGGAGATGAGAAGGTAGTGGTTCCATTCTAGTTCTTAAGTTAATGGTGGGTGATGGGTAGGTCATTTTACTAGCAGGATTCAAAATTTAAGATATTTATGTCACCTGTTTTGTTTTGTTTTGTATATGTCTTAATTTGCTCAGGCTGTCATAACAAGGCACCACAGGCCAGGAGGCTTAATCCCCAGACATTGAATCTCTCTCAGTTCTGGAGGCTGGAAGTCGGAGGGGCTGCTTCCTTCTGAGGCTGCGAGGGGCAGTCTGTCCCAGGCCTCTCTCTTGGGCTTGTTGGCCATCCTCTCTGTGTCTCTTCACATTACTTCCCTCTGTCTCTGTGTCCACACTTCCTCTTTTGTAAGGGCACAGTCACACTGGATGAGGGCCCACCCTGATGACCTCATTTTAACTTGATTTCCTTCTTCAAGGTCCTATCTTCAAATAAGGTCACGTTTGAGGTTCTAGCAGTTAGTACTCCAACATGTCCTCTTTTGGTGAGGACACAATTTAGCCCATAAGTATTTATCAAAAACTATATAATAATAAACTGTTTTAAAATGTTATTCCCTGGGCGCCTAGGTGGCTCAGTCGGTTGGGCAACTGCCTTTGGCTCAGGTCATGATGCTGGAGTCCCAGGATCGAGTCCCACATCGGGCTCCCTGCTCCACAGGGAGTCTGCTTCTCCCTCTGACCCTCCCCCCTCTCATGCTCTCTCTATCTCATTCTCTCTCTCAAATAAATAAAAATCTAAAAAAAAAATGTTATTCCCTTTTAAATATTTATGAGAATGGTTAAAATAAAATTTTAAGATGTGACAATCCCCAGCGCTGATGAAGATGCAGAGCAACTGGAGCTACATGGCTGGGAGGAAGGCAAAATGGCCCGGCCCCCTGGAAAACAGTTTGGCAGTTTTGTAAAAAGTGAAAACATAAGTCTACCGCGCAGCCAGCAAACCCACTCCTAGGTGTTTACCTAAGAAAGATGAAGACTTCTATTTGCACAAAAAGCTGCACATGAGTGTTTTTAGTGGCTTATTCATAATTGCCTAAAACCGGAAACAACCCAAAACTCCTTCCACCAGCAAACGATCAGGTGGCCGACCTCAGAACAGCTCATACCCCGTGATTCCACTTAGATGACGTTCTGGACTAGGCAAAACTATAGCGACAGTGCTTTCTGGGGCTTTTCTGGGGCTTGGGGTTGGGGGAGGGGTGACTACACTGGGGCACGGGGAGGCTTTAGGGCTGATGACACCGTTCTAATCTTGATTGCGGTGCTGGTGGTTACATGGCTAAGTTTGTCGAAACTTCCGTAAACTTCCCATACAAAAGGATAAATGTTGTGACGTGCAAGTTAAATATCTTCATTTAAAAAATCTTCTTAAATGTAATTTTCTCCCAGCCAAGGTTTTCCTAATTTTGAAGAAGTGGTGCATGATGAAGATGAAATCATTTAACCAGGGGCCCTGCATTCAGAGGTGCTCGATAAATATTTCCTCTAGGCCAGCAATTCCCCAACTATGCCTGGAAACAGCCGCCTACAGAGGGGGTTATGGGCGCCCCCGCAATAAGATAAAAGTGTCCCCCGGTCAAATAAGAGTGGGCCCAGGAAATAAAAGTTAAAATGTTTAATTACGGTCAGACTTCTCAGACCTTTTGCGAGGATAAAGCATGTTGCGGATTTTAAGGAATTTCCCCAGGAGTTGCCCCACATCTGGGAGGGTTGGTGAAAGGTTTGTTTGGATTGAACAGAGATTCAGATGCCCAGGAGCCACCATCTCTTACTGGCAAAGCCTCGCTGGGAATTTGAACAATGCTCCCAGGCCATTTGGTGAGAGCCGGGATTCAGGCTCCGGAAACGGGGTGAGGGTCTCAGCTGACAGGACCTGGTGCTAAGATGGAACCAGCCCTTCCCTGGAGGGGGAGGGGAGGAGGGAGCAAGAGCAGAATGCGGCCAGGTCCCGTTTGGAGGTGATGAAGTGCGCCGGAAACAGATGGAGGTTGGGGTTGCCGAGCACCGTGAGTGTTCACTTTAAAATGGTTGCTTTTTGTCTTATGTCAGTTTCACCTCCATTGAAAAAAGCAAACCAACCCCAAACCCAGCTCTTAACCTTAGCTCTGCACCTCCATTCTTACTTACCTGCTGTGGATAAGGTAGCAGTGGCTCAGAGAGGTGAAGCGACTAGCCGAAGACACACAGCGGTGCAAGTGGCAGAGTGAGGACCAGAAGCCAAGTCGGGGCTCCAGAGCCAGAGCTGCCCTGCCCTCCAGTGGCCGCCTGGGCCCAGCCCTGGGGTGGGGGGGGGCACCTGCTAGGAGGGGCCTGTGAGCAGGCCAGCTCCGCCCTGGAGGTGATGTTCGTCTCCCCCTCCTCTAGGCCCTGGGCGCCTTCAAGCTGGCGGACCCCAGCTGTCTGTCTGTCTGTCTGTGTCTCCACGGCAACTGGGTTGGCTGTGGCCCGCCTTCCGGGGCCCTGGGCCCCAGTGCAAAGGTTGCAGCCTGCCCAGGCTGACACGGCCTGGCTCAGTCTCCGTGTTTTGGTCTGAGTGACCTCGATGTCCCATGCCGCCGACAACTATTCCTGGTTTCATAACCAGCATCGCCACAGGAGAAAGAGAGAAGTGGCTGCGGCTTGGGCCAGGAAGTGTCATCTGCCTGTGATAGAAGCAGCGGGGAGATTCTGGGTGCTCGCTGGGCGCCGGATCGGTGCGAGTATCAGTGAGAAATGAAAAAACACAGCGGAGGTGCAAGGATATCTTTGCGGGCGCGAGGAAGAATCCCGGAGAGCAGACTGCCCCACCCCGGTTCGCTGCAGGTCGTACCGGGTTGGCGGGGCCATCTCCCAGCACTTGTGCTACCTCGGCGGGGCTTCTAGCTTCTCTGAGAGCCCCACGTCCTTACCTGGACAATGCTGGAAATGATAACCCTCACCTCCTGCAGTGGTTGTGCCTGAGAGAGACGGTGCGTGCGGAGAGCTGGCCCCTGACGGCATCTGTGCAGGGAGACCAGCCCGGAGGCCCTGCGGGGTCCCACTGCGTGGTGGTGGTGTGGGGAGAGGACCGGGGATGGAATGGAGAGGGCAGGCTTAGGACTGGCCGATGGAGGGAGGGGACAGAGGAGTCAAGGGTGTGCCCCCAAGAGAGGTAGCAAACGCTGGAGAACAGTCCAGGGGCACAAGCCTTGTGAACTTGGTGGTGTGCGTGCTGAGCAAGAAACGCATAGCTGTCAGGGAGACAGAAGGATGCTTACTTCTTGAACTCAGGGAAGAAGGGTGCTGGCTGGAGATGGGAGCGTCAGAAGTGACTGCCAGCACCCCAGAGGTCTGGCCGAGTCCGATGCACCTCACCCCAAACCCAGTCCTGGCAAACCCTCTCCACCGCCTTCCGCTTCACCCTCCTGGTTGCTGGAACGGCCAGTAGGGGACAGATGCCACCGAGCCTCCATTTCACTCGAGGGGCGGCAGGAACACCCAGAGGGAAGGAAAGGGGGCCCCTGGAGGGCCAAGGTGAGGGGCCCCTGGCTCTGGCTCATGGAGTGAGACACAGCCCCCCCAGGCCCACCTGCTAAGGGTGGCCCTGGGGGATGGACAGGAAGCCTGGGGACCCTGGAGGGAGGAGAAGCCACTAGCTGAGTCGTACCCAAGCCCTCATGATCCACACACAGGCTAATCCATGCAGACTCAGAAAGGACAAGCCAGCTTGGGGAATGCGTGACCCGTTCTCAGGAGGAAGCGCAAGAGGGGTTAAACATCCTGTCACCTGATGGCTTCGGTCACCAGTGTGACTGGGGGCTTGTCCCTGCTTGCACACCTGCAAGCTCACTCCTCTGGGCTGCCCAGACTTTACATCGTCCTCTGCAGGAAAACCCACCACCATTCCCCAGCAGGGGCTTCTTCCTTGCCCATCTCTCTCCAGGCCGGATTCTGGAATCTGCTCCCCCACATTCCTCTCTTCTTGCAGCAAAGCCTCGGAACGACACGGTACCAAACACGGGATGTTTCCAGCAGAGTCCCCTCCGTTGCAGGTTCAGCCTCTGTCCTGTAGAGGATGCCAGGACCCCAGGTGAGGTTATGGGACAGCATCCGCCCTGCAGGCAGGCGGGGGCAATTCAGAAGTCTTCACGTGTCCTCTGTCAAAGCTCCAGTCCTCCATAGGACACGCTGGTTCTCGTATTAAAGTTGCTGGAATACCCACACCTCTGCCCGGAGCCCTCCTTTGCTGCTCTCCTATCTCAATCCATTCGGGCTACTATAACAAGATCCCACCGACCGGGACGCTTAGAAACAACACACATTTATTGCTCACGGTCCTGCAGGCTGGAAGTCCATGATCAAGGGGCTGCATGGCCACATTCTGGGGAAGGTCCTCCTCCCGGTCCGTGGCCAGCACCTTCTTGTTGTGTCCTCACATGGCGGAGGGGCTGAGGAGGGCACTGGTCCCATTCATGAGGGCCCCTCCCTCATGACCCAAGCGCCTCCCGGAGGCCCCACCTCCTAATACCATCATCGTTGAGGGTCAGGATTTCAAAATAGGAATTTTGGGGGGACACAAACATTGAGGCCATAGCACCTCCTGAGTCTCGCTCAGAGCTTCTGATGTTTACTGCGTTATCAGAGCCAACACCACCCATCTGCCCCAGGGCCTTTGCCCTTGCTCTGCTTCCCACCTGGGCTGTACTTCCTCCAGCAGGCCTTGCTTGGCCAGCCTCTCTAAAGTAGCCCGCCCAGCGCTCCGTCCCCGTAGCTTGTTTTCATCAGAGGGCTTCCTGTTCATTCTCTGCCCCCACCTTCTCTAGAACGTGGGCTCCGCAAGGGCCGGTATGTGTCTGCCCAGTGGCGGCTGCGTCCCCGGCACTTAGTGTCGGCTGGGGCTCCATTCGGCCCCCCGCCTTGGGCCCCCCTGGATTCCGTTTCCCTCCCTGACCCGCCTGGTACCTTTGCACCGCCTGGACCTCGGGTCACAGGCAGAGGAGAAAGCTGACCCTCTGAGCCTCAGAGCAAACCTTCCAGGAAGAGCTTTAACAAAGTCAAGGGCCGCACAAGGCTCCCTCCCTTCCTGGGAGGGGCCCCGTGGACCGGACCGGGGCTGGCCTGCCCCTCATGCAGCATGCACGCAGTGCTGACCAGGGCTCTAACCGGGAATGCAGCAGCCCCAGAAACTTGGGGAGAAGCTGTCCATAGAACAAAGAATCCTTTCCGAGGGCTGAGTCCTAGAACTTCCTCCCAGCCCCACCCACCCTCTCATCAGGGGCTTGGGCCTTGCAGATGCAGCACGTTTCTCTCTTCGTGTCTTGCGAATTCTTCGAGAAATAATTCACATCCCCCACATTTGCCTACGTTATATAATTGTCATCATATAGACATAAAAGCATATCATACATACTGTTCTGAGCCTCTATTTTTTTTTCAGTTGGTGTATTTCAGAGAGCTGCCCACACCAGCATATAATGGAACCATGGCTATTTTTAAAATAATTCCTTTTCTTTTTTTCACATTGAGTCATACAGGAACACGGTAAAAATCCAAATGGGTAGAAAATGGATGCAGTGAAGAGGGGTCTGCTGCCCACATGCCCCAAGCCCCTCACTGTGACCCGTTTCTAGGGTGTCCGTCCACGGCTTTCCCACCCAGCACACGCAGGTGAGTGTAGACTCACAGAGCGTGTGTATCACATCTACAGCACCCACGGGGTCTGCCCGGTTTGCAAACGTTAAAGGACGCTCTAACATTCCCGTTCCTCGTCCATCAGCACTCAGCCCACCACCGCCCAGCAGGTGCATGCGAAGAGCCAGGCTCCATGCGACAGTGAGACACGCTCAGGTTTCTTCCTTGCTCGTGAACATGCTGTGGCTCCCTATTGCCTGGCATATCCGGCCTGGCTTCCAGGGGTGACAAGGGAAGAGGCCACACACCCTGGGTTCAAAGCCCAGCTCAGCCACCTAGTCATGAGTAGCCACGGCGGTGCTCCACGTCCCCGGGCCACAGGCCGACGACAGCCCCAGAGGCCTGCAGCGAGGCTAGGGGCTGGGAAAGTTTTTACCGCCCCCCCCCCATTTGACAGTCGTTTGTTCCAGTGCCTGCGTTCCCGTGCCTCAGCTGGGTCCCAGCACGGGCACCGCGAAGCCCCTGGATGGCCGCTCTGCATGCGTACCCCTCTGCACGCCTCCCAGCACGCCAGGCTGCAGAGGGCCCGGCCTCCCAGCACACACAGATGTCCCAGGCCGGGGCCCCGGCCCTGCACCTCCAGCTCTGAGCGCGGTGCCTGCCCACACCCGCTCACTCACTCACCCCTTCATTCCGCAGCCATGCCCAGGCCCCTGCTCCGGGTCAGGGAGGACACAGATGGAAGACAGGGCGCAGTCTGAGGTGCCGAAGCTGCAGTGGTGGGGACACTTGCAGAGACAGTTGTCACATGGTGCGTGTGTGCCGTGACAGAGGAGGCTCTGAGTCCCTGGCCCAGCAGGCAAGGAGAGGAGGCCTCCTGGGTGAGGACCAGAAGCTGGCGGGGGTGGGTGGGGAGGGCTTCCAAGCAGAGAGGACGGTGGGAGCAACAGCAGGGAGGGAGGCGGGAGACCGGTGCATGGGTGTGTGTGTGTGTGCACGTGAGTGCATGAGGGAGTGTGTGTGCAAAGGATTTCTCTGTCCCGGATGCCTTTGGCCCCCAGGCCTCCCCTTGGCCTTCAGCTGCAGCCTGTGGACAGTGCCGAAATGCACTTTGTTCTGAGTTTTGCACCAGAGTTTCCATTGTCTGCCCTGGGGGCCCCTCTACTGCAGAGGGTGGGGCGAGAATGCTCAGGCCACTTGTGAACACAGCCTAATGCAGGGCCAGTGCCCCCCGGATCCCGTCCCCTGGTGCTCGGGGGTCGATTCCACAGGCTTGCTTTAAGCCCCTGGCCGACTCCACCTCCTGCTGCCAGCAGCAGCTCGCTGGTGGTGCCCGCGCTTGGTGGCTTTTCCTCCCTCCTGCCCCCTAGTGTCACCTCCCGAAGAAGCCACCTGCGCCCTAGGCTTGTGATAGTCTCTGCCATTGTGGGGACCTAAGCTGAGACACTTCTGAATTGGGGCTATTTCAGGGGAAAACTGGGAAGAGCATGCACCCAATCATTAAAGAGGACTTACCTCCGAGAAAGCACGGGGCAGCGGAGGACGTTTTTATCACTCCCTTTATATAATCTCCAAGATCATAGAGTGACCTTGATGTCACAGGTGCAAATCTACGGTCACCTGAACTCCGATGCGCCCAAAGACAACCCCTGGGGACGCTCAGATGCTTGGTGCAGTTTTCCTCAGTCATTCTGGGTTCAAACTGGGCCAACTTCAAGACCCTCCCCCAGCCTCCGTCACCCGGGTTGACCCTGAGCTCGGGGGCCTCCCTGGCTGTCACAGGCTGGGGCGGAGAGGGTGTGGACCTCGCCAGCCTGGCTCTTCCCGGTCCTGTGTCGCCCCCTACAGTGGTGAGTTTCACATGTCCGCCTGGCTGGGCGCCCACGCAGGCGGTCAAACGTCATTCTGGATGTTTCCGTGGAGGTGTTTTGGGGTGAGATTAACATGTAAATCAGCGGAGGTTGAGTAAAGCAGACGGTCCTCCGTAATGTGGGTGGGCCTCGTCCCCTCATCCCAAGGCCCGAATAGAACAAAAGGCTGACCTTCCCTGAGCAGACGGCACTGCCCCAGGCCTCCCCTGCTGGCCCACCCCATAGACAGTGGACTCGCCAAGCCTGTGCAATCCCACGGCTAAACTAAACATTTCCACACACGCACACCCTAGTACTTTTTTTTGCTGGAGAGCCCTGACTAATACACCCCCGTGAGGCTGGGACCCTACGCCCCCCCCCACCGGCCCCCAATGTAAATGCCTCCTCAGCCCTTTCTCAGGTGCACGGGCCGGTACACAGCCTCCCAGTCCACTGCTCTCTTTTCCGCCCAGCTCAAGACGGGGTGTAGAAAGACCAGGAGTTTCTGCTGTATGCTCACGCCAGCCTAGGAACAACCTGGGGGCCATGCTGTCATTTCTAATCTGTTGACATCACTCCACAAAAGTATCAGGGACTTCTCCAGCCACAACCGGCAACTGCCTGGGCTTCCCCTCCCCGATCAGTCAGGATGAGGTACACTCATTCCTCTCTCAGGTTCAAATCTGGGGGGAGGATGTAACAATGCTGAGAGGCATCTATCTCTGCTCCTTCCAGCTGCCCACACCATCCTCCTGAGGGCATGGCCTTTGTCCTCAAGGCCTCAAAATGGTGGCCAGAGTTCCAGCCATCACATTCAAATTCCAGGTAGTAGGACTGAGCAAGTGAAGAAGGAACAAGGCATGAGGAACATGCTAATGATCCTTTGTGGTGAAGGTTCCTGGAAGCAGCTGCTTCTGGTTTGTATCCCATCTGTAAGAGCTTAGTCATGCAGCCATATGCATCTGCCAAGGAGGCTGGGAGATACAGTCCTTATTTCGGGAGCCGTGTGACTAGCTAAAAATTGGGGGTTCTATTATCCTGGAAGAAAGTGAGCAGATATAGGGGGGCAACCAGTAACTCTTGCCCTACCCAGGATCTGGGGCCAGGGTGGGAAAGCAGAAGTCGTCCCCGCCCCCAGGCTCAGCGCTGCCCCCGGGGAAGGGGAGGCGGGCATCAGAGGGTGCCCCCGGCAGGTCTGTACACAGCAGGCAGCAGAGCCCCCAAAGATAAATGTGGGACCACCTCCCCACCTCCACACACTCCTCCAGGAGGCCCAGAGAGGACAAGTCCCCAGCGGGTCCTCCGTGACAGCGGGTCTTAGGCAAGAGGGGAGCCAGACGGTGGCGTCCAGCCATGCAGTTTGCACAACACGTTGGGGCGTCCACCCTGCGCCAGGCACCCACGAGTCCAAGACAACCCGCTTCCCACTCAGGCCTCGAGGCCACAACACCACCTCCACCTTCCGGCCCTGATGTCCTACAGCTAACTCCCAAAACCCGCCGATTCCACAGGATGCTTTGCCCGGCGTGGCTCCTGCCACAGGGAGGCGGCTCCGGCCCCCACGGCCTCCACACGGGGTGCCCCTGAGAGCCTGTCACGTGGGCAGTGGATTCAAATCCACAGCAAGTGTCGAAAGCAGATCCAGAGAAGGCGGCGACCCAGCGCCCCACGGACGGTGCTGGGGGCTTCCCGGACTTTTCTATCCTGCAGAGACGTTAGAACCTTGGTTCCTGGGTTCACAGCTTCCACGGCCGGCTCCCGACCGTTGGCCACAGTGTCCGCTGCACGCTGGCTTGTTCGGAGCCCATGCAAACACGGGCATGGGACGGTGTCACTCTGCCGGCCAAGGCTCGTGGGGCGTGAGGGTCAACGCGAGCATCAACTTGGCCGGGCCACGGCACCCAGGTGTTTGGTGCTGCGAAAGGCGTGCTTCAGAGGAGATTAACATTCCAATCAGCAAGGAGACTCCGGGGCGGAGGCCCCTCGGCAGTGTGGGCAGGCCTCGCCCAATCAGGAGAAGAGTGAAAGCCTTCTCCCAGAGCAGAAACAGCAGGGTGGAGTGATCCTGGACGAGCACCCACGACTGGGAGTGAACCAGACGAGGCCTGAGGCTCCTCCTGAGGCGTCCTTCAGAAGGGCTCTGACATCCCATCCACGGCCCTCCCTCTGAAGGGGGCTGGCGAGGCAGCAGCCAGCTCAGAGAGCCCCAGAAAGCTGGCTGGCTGCCCCCGAAGGGTCCCCGCCAGGGCCCCGTCTCTCGAACCCAACTCCGGGGCAGGCCTCTGTGGCCTGCCCCCGCGTGCCGGGCCTGCCGGCTGACAACCTCACTGTGGCCTTCGTGACCACTTGGCGCTGCCCTGGGGCTTGTGGGTGGCGCTGGGGGGCAGTGGGCTGTGGTGCCAGCCTCCACTATCTGTAGACCCTAGAGGGGTGGGGAGACTCTAGTCCGTGTTGAGGCTGACTCCAGCAAAGCCAGAGTCCCCACGGCCACATCCCTGGTGTGGATGTCCTGGCCCGAGCCACTGGCCAGACTCGTTCAGGACCCGCGTGGGCACGCCTCCCCCTCCAGCTCCGCCCGCGCCCTGTGGGACTGCGCCTCCCCAGCCCGGGGCCCCGCTTCCCCTCACACTCTAGTGACACAGCCTGTCCCCGAGACCCCCCCCCCAGACACTTTCTCCACTGTAGGGGACACATGCAGTTAGGGTGGGGGAGTCCTCGTGGAGCATCTCCCATCCCCCATGCTGTTTAAACCGGCCAATGCCACTGGCCACAAGGGCACGCCCAGTGAGTGCCTTTGAGACCCCTTCCCCAAGAACCCTTGGAAAGGAGGACCCAACACGAGTTCTTGACCTGTTCTGTAATGGTAGCAGGAAGGTGTAGGTTAAAGGTACAGTAAGAGGGACTGAGGTTAGATGTAAGGAAGAACTTCCCTCCCGCGTGGGCTTTAGGCCTCCTGATGATTTATACCTGTCCTTCCCGATGGCTCGGTTCTGTGTTGGTTTCGGGGGTGGAAGGGGGCGGGAAATGCTTCCAGAGGGAGTGTTCCACGCCCGAAAGGATTCAGGCAGCCCCTACCTGCCAGGCTGGGGTGAAGGTTACATGAGGGCAGATGCTAACAGGGGATGTGTCTTTGAGACACTGGAGCAGAAGAGGCATGGGATGTGTCCTCTGTGTTTCGAGGTTAACGCCCAGGCCTGGCAGGGTCACGGTCAAACTGGCGCTTTCCCAACGCCGCGGGCGAATGTGCAGAATTAGGACAACCCTTCTGGGAGGTTGTTCTAACCATCAGTTACACGAAACAAGCATTGTTGTTTCTGAAGGCAACCACTGGGTTGGCGTGGTGGTTCTGCTCACGTTCTAGACCGAGCCGTCCCATCACGTGGCCGCTGCACGCTCAGCAGGGACGCATGGGGAGCGGCATGGACAGACTGGGGCGGTGGCGGGGGCAGACAGGGGCGCAGGAGCTGTGGGACCGCGTGGGCACTGACCTCGGATGTCCCGGGGCAGGATCGGGGCCTTACTTGGGCCTGGGTTGCTCTGCCACGTGGCGCTGGGGAAGGTGAAGCTGACCTCAGGCACCGGGGGCATCTTCTCGTCTACACGGTGAACAGGAGAGGGGAGCACATTAGTTTAGGGGCCACTCCGTGAGTCCTGGGGATGAGAGGAAATCATGAGCAATCCATGCAGTGCGTTGAGTACCTACCACGTGCCCACTGGGCTCTTTGCTGAGGCCACCTTGTTTGTACTCCCCATAGCCCGGGCCTTTCTGGAATGTTCCCCCCTCGGGCTTTGGTTCCTTTCCCTCCCCTAGCAACCATGCTCTCCTCTCCCTCTCCTTCCCTCTCCTTCCCCTGTTTGCTCTGAGCCGGCCATGACCCAGCCATGGGGAGGGTTTCCGGGGCTATTGAGCAGAGTTCAATCAGACAGAAGACGAAGCAGCGAGGGAGAGGGTGTCTCCCCCAGACACGGCTGGGCACCCCTGTGCAGAGGCTGCCTGATGGCCTGAGCTCAGATTCCTGGCCCTGTGGTCTGCCCTGGTCA